TTCCATCGCAAGCCCTTTCTATGATGGGCCACGTTTTCGCCTCTTCCTGTTCTTAAAAACTGTCTGGGCCCTCCGTTTTCCGAGGAATCCAGCTCTCCGTCTTTCAGTTTCTGCCTGCAGTTGTAGGTGGGTTTTTTTGGGGGTTTTTTTGTTTGTTTTTTTGGGGGGTGGGGTTAGGGGAGGGTTGTTTGTTTTTCCCTTCCTCACAATATCCGTTATGTTGTGTTTCTCTTTATTCAATAAAACACGAAAAAAAGAAGAGTTACAGGTTTGTGAGTTATTCACAATTTAGAGTGGTTTCGTCTAATATTGTGTGCTTTATGACGATATTATTCTAAAGAGTTTGTGTGTTTGTGTCGTCTGGCAGGTCGCTATCAAGTACATCAAGAAGACAAAGATCCAGGACGAGAACGACCTGGTCAGGATACGGCGGGAGATCCAGATCTTGTCCAGCCTACGTCACAAGCACATCGTCAACATCCGGGAAGGTGAGTACACGATGGCACGTGACTGGTGTCCCTTCCATGGCTCCTCCCTCTGACCTCTGATCTCTGACCGCTGACCTCTGCTGTTGTGTGCGTCCTTGTCTCGGGTGTGTCTCTTTTCCCATGTGTGTTAGATGGGGTGGTTGGCGGGTGCTCTGATATGGTTTGTTTTTGGTTCTTTCCTATCAAATATCTATCGTCCTTTTCTCTCTCTCTCTTTTCTTTGCATGTTACGTTTCAGTAACGCCTTCTAATCTTCGGTATGTACAAGACCTATCATTAGTGTTGCAAATGCCGTACACATGTTACTAAAACTAAACTAAAATACAATGTAAAAGTCTCTGGGGGGACATGTAATAGTGATCGAAAGAAAGTGAGGAGGGTGGGGGCTGTTGTTTTGAGTTTCAGCAATCTCGCGATGCAGACATGGATAGGTAAATTGTGGGAAGAGGTTGGAGGGGTGGAAAGAGAAAGGAGGTACATGGATAGAAGGAGAAGGTGAAGAGAGAGAGAGAGAGAGAGAG